CAAGTCAGTGTTCCTCCTCCTCCTCCACTACCTAGAAATGTAAAAAGGGAGGAAAGACTAAAGACAACAGAAATGGAGAAACGGACAAGCAGTCCCTCTCCGGCCAAAGAGGAAACCTCCGGTCCTGTGGTCACCCAGTCTCTACTACAGATGGTTCGTCTTAGGTCGGTTAAGTCCAGTCAGAGTCCTGCTCTAGATCCTGATAAACCATCACAACCCAAACCAAAATCAGGTGTCAATCAAGAGGTGCCTCCAAAGCCAATCAGACGATCTTTGATTTTGACATCACTGCCCCCTGATGTGGAAGCTCTTTCCAACACAGAGCCAAAAACTGAAGCTCCGTCTCTCAACACAAACACAACCACTGTATCAAATACTCAGCAAGGATCATCTGAACCAGAAACTCAATCAAATAACATTGCTCAAATAACATTGCCTAAAAGCTCATCAGCTACATGTCCACCTACAGAACCAAGTAAGAATCCAGTTCCTGCTGAACCAGCAAATAAACAACCCTGTGCTGAAACCAAACCCAAACCCCAAACCCTCAAGGAACAAATTCAACCTACAGTGCCTGACCCGGAAACCCTGTCAAGTACAACAGAACCAAAGGACAAATCAATCATTGAGCCAAAGACTCAACATCAGGCACAAGAACCCAACAAGACTCCGCATAATTCAGAGAAGCAATTAAGCACCGTTGAAATGCACTCAAAGCCAGATGGTGAGCAGCCAAAAACCCAAACACCAATGCCCATTGTCTCTTCCACACCTCCCATAATCTCTTCGCCAGCTAACCCCTCCATGCGTCTCCAGGATGCCATTCGTCTAAAGGCTGCCACTATGTCTTCAAAAGACAACCAAGCCAAGCGCTTTGGTCTGTGCTCCCCTCCCCCAGCCATGGCTAGTGGCACCGCTGTACCAAACTCCCCTGCATCTACAGCCAGCTTCATCTTCTCCAAGAGCCCAAAGAAGGTCGTAATAGAGACACCGTCATCCTTAGAGGTTCAGGGTGACCTGAGGAAAACTCTGGTGGCAGAGTTAGCATCTGTCTCCGATTTAGCCAAGTCTAATGACTCGCACAAGATGGCTAACAAAGTTCCTCCACCTATTGCTAAGAAACCCAAACCTAAGGTTGAGAGCGTTGCTCAGAACTCTGCAGAGGCTGAATCTGTAGCCAAGACTGAGCATGTGTAAACAGAAACTGTACAAACTGCCGGACAGGAAGTACAGAGAACTCTGAGAATAGAAGTGAATGAATATGTGCACAAATGATTTAATAACCCTTAAGTTTTTGCTTTATTTCGCAGATAAATCAGGCTTTAGATCCTAGGCCCAAACTGCTCAAGCAATTTTGAAATATACCAAAAAAGTCTTTATGTACAGATAGGCATATTGCACTTTTTGTACACTGGTTTAGTGTAACTGATTCTCATTCATCGTGGGAATGCATGTCACTGGTATTTGGAAATTATAAATATTCTTATTTTATTTATGTGTCCTCTGTCTTAGACCGAAGCCATGCTACCTTCCAGGTTGTAGAACTCCTCCCTGTTGGTAGCACTGTAAAAACTACGGTAACATAGCAGGACCAATTAATCTCTATGGTGGATTTTTACAGGCATTAATGTATGCCTGAATACGAGAGCAGTGTGAAAGGAAATGAAGGTAAAGAATGTAAGTAAAAAGAATGCAAAGAAGCCAAACAAAAAGGGGAAGAACAGTTAGGAGAATGGACCACTGATTTTGGGGTGGGGTTTGTGACTATTCTGTTTTCTATTTGCAGTGTGTAACTAAGCCTATTTTTTACTTTTAAAACTCCCAAGTCAATAAAAGTGATCATACACATTCCCCACCCCAAGTATCCATACAGTGTATATAGGAATGTGGAGAAGGAATCTGAGCAAGTATAAATGAAACCGAAGGATGGAGCCGATGAATGAAACAAAAGCTGTTTCTCACTATTGTGTGTGCGCAAGTAGGGCCAAGAAGGTGGTAAGAAGACATGAAACCACATAAACAAGAGGTCTAAGGTGTTAATCTCTGTGTAATCATTACTTTTGGTTTATTTTTTTGTATTTTCACAGAGAAGGTAATTAGTTTACATAGTTGATGTACATTACAGTCTGCTACAATCTACAGAAAAGAAAAAATGTTTTTAATATATGAAAATTCTCATGCACTATGCTGACATTTTTATTATTGTTCCTCTTTTTAAGAAGAATCTCTTTTTAAGAAGAAATGTCTTATTTACTGTCTAAACTCTTTCTCTACAAATATTTAAAAAAATTAATCGTGTTTCATCATGTGATGAAAGTAAAAAGTGTAAAACAGTTACTAAAATGGCTTCATGGTGACTTTTCTGATCTGGCTATGTTTTTTTCTTTTTTGAAAGTTGTTTTATTAGATGCTGCAATATATAAACATTATGCATAATTCAAAATAAAGAACACCGACTGCTTTAGTCACATGGATCTTAAGAACTGTTATATCAGGATGGTGGTAGACTAATCTAGACTAAATGTGGTTGCCATAGGCATCATATATTCAGCTAACAGTATGAATGTCAAACAATAATCAAGTCAATCAAGACTTAGATATGAACTTACCATTTACCTGTCATGTTTTTTTTTTTCAGAAGCTAAACAGGGCATAAGATATTAATTCATGTACTGATGGACATAAGAAAAGGGTAAAGTTTTTTTTTACAAATTTGGCAGGCAGACACCGTCATCCTTAGAGGTTCAGGGTGACCTGAGGAAAACTCTGGTGGCAGAGTTAGCATCTGTCTCCGATTTAGCCAAGTCTAATGACTCGCACAAGATGGCTAACAAAGTTCCTCCACCTATTGCTAAGAAACCCAAACCTAAGGTTGAGAGCGTTGCTCAGAACTCTGCAGAGGCTGAATCTGTAGCCAAGACTGAGCATGTGTAAACAGAAACTGTACAAACTGCCGGACAGGAAGTACAGAGAACTCTGAGAATAGAAGTGAATGAATATGTGCACAAATGATTTAATAACCCTTAAGTTTTTGCTTTATTTCGCAGATAAATCAGGCTTTAGATCCTAGGCCCAAACTGCTCAAGCAATTTTGAAATATACCAAAAAAGTCTTTATGTACAGATAGGCATATTGCACTTTTTGTACACTGGTTTAGTGTAACTGATTCTCATTCATCGTGGGAATGCATGTCACTGGTATTTGGAAATTATAAATATTCTTATTTTATTTATGTGTCCTCTGTCTTAGACCGAAGCCATGCTACCTTCCAGGTTGTAGAACTCCTCCCTGTTGGTAGCACTGTAAAAACTACGGTAACATAGCAGGACCAATTAATCTCTATGGTGGATTTTTACAGGCATTAATGTATGCCTGAATACGAGAGCAGTGTGAAAGGAAATGAAGGTAAAGAATGTAAGTAAAAAGAATGCAAAGAAGCCAAACAAAAAGGGGAAGAACAGTTAGGAGAATGGACCACTGATTTTGGGGTGGGGTTTGTGACTATTCTGTTTTCTATTTGCAGTGTGTAACTAAGCCTATTTTTTACTTTTAAAACTCCCAAGTCAATAAAAGTGATCATACACATTCCCCACCCCAAGTATCCATACAGTGTATATAGGAATGTGGAGAAGGAATCTGAGCAAGTATAAATGAAACCAAAGGATGGAGCCGATGAATGAAACAAAAGCTGTTTCTCACTATTGTGTGTGCGCAAGTAGGGCCAAGAAGGTGGTAAGAAGACATGAAACCACATAAACAAGAGGTCTAAGGTGTTAATCTCTGTGTAATCATTACTTTTGGTTTATTTTTTTGTATTTTCACAGAGAAGGTAATTAGTTTACATAGTTGATGTACATTACAGTCTGCTACAATCTACAGAAAAGAAAAAATGTTTTTAATATATGAAAATTCTCATGCACTATGCTGACATTTTTATTATTGTTCCTCTTTTTAAGAAGAATCTCTTTTTAAGAAGAAATGTCTTATTTACTGTCTAAACTCTTTCTCTACAAATATTTAAAAAAATTAATCGTGTTTCATCATGTGATGAAAGTAAAAAGTGTAAAACAGTTACTAAAATGGCTTCATGGTGACTTTTCTGATCTGGCTATGTTTTTTTCTTTTTTGAAAGTTGTTTTATTAGATGCTGCAATATATAAACATTATGCATAATTCAAAATAAAGAACACCGACTGCTTTAGTCACATGGATCTTAAGAACTGTTATATCAGGATGGTGGTAGACTAATCTAGACTAAATGTGGTTGCCATAGGCATCATATATTCAGCTAACAGTATGAATGTCAAACAATAATCAAGTCAATCAAGACTTAGATATGAACTTACCATTTACCTGTCATGTTTTTTTTTTCAGAAGCTAAACAGGGCATAAGATATTAATTCATGTACTGATGGACATAAGAAAAGGGTAAAGTTTTTTTTTTACAAATTTGGCAGGCATTTTTTATTTACATTGCAAGGTATACATTATTAGTTTATCCTATGATTGCCATTACTAGAACCATCTACTCTTTGTACCCCACAACACTAAGATTAGTTAGCAAAATAACAGCATAAAACAGCTATACAAATCGTTATGAAACAAGCGCTATGAAAAACAACAGAGTTTTGCTTATGCCAAGGAAAAGAGCCATGGGTTCAAGGATGGCCAAACAATACATAGCAATTAAAATTCAAAAGAAAGAGAGAGAGATACAGCGGGTAAAATAAAGTAGGCTATTGAACACACAACCATTTTTCTCAGTAAATATATTTCTAAAGGTGCCGTTGACATGACATTTTCACCAGACGTCGGTAACAATCCAAGTAATCCATACATACAAAGAAAGCAAAACAAATGAGTTTAGAAATTAAGTTATGTGTAAAAAAATAAAAAAAGTAGAATGACACAGGGGAAAAGTATTGAACACATGAAGAAAGGGAGGTGCAAAAAGGCATGGAAAGCCAAGACACCAGCTGAAATCTATCAGTAATTAGAAAGCAATGCTGCCCCTTGTCAGTGGAAATTAATATTAGTTGGTTTAGTCCCAACTGATGGCCTATACAAAGGTGTCTCATGACCAACGTGTCACACAAGAAACATTTCATGATGGGTAAAAGCAAAGAGCTTTCTCAAGACCTTGGCAACGTTATTGTTGCAAAACATACTGATGGCATTGGTTACAGAGTGACTTCTATACTTCTGAGTGTTACAGTGAGCACTGTTGGGGCCATAATCCAGAAGTGGAAAGCCAAGGATCGCTTGTGGAGAGCTTCAGAAAGACCTGGAATTAGCATGTACAATTGTTTCAAAGAAAATAATAAGTACAGTAAGTAAGTAATGCACTCAACTGCCGTGGCCTGTATGCACAGTCTCTAATGCACAATCTCACAGCAAGTCTCTAATGCTGAAGAAAAAGCATGTTGAAGCTTGTTTAAAGTTTGCAGCACAACATTTAGACAAGGCTGTGAAATACTGGGAGAATGTAATCTGGTCAGATGAGACAAAAATTGTACTCTTTGGATGCCATAATATACACCATGTTTGGAGGTCAAATGGCACTGCACACCACCCCCAAACATCATGGTGTAGCACTGGCAAAATTCATAGAATTGAAGGAAGGATGAATGGAAAAATGCACTGAGACATTCTTGATAAAAATCTGCTGCCATCTACCAGTATGATGAAGATGAAATGAGGGCATTCCAGCGAGACAATGTTCCCAAACACAGCCAAGGAAACTTTCATTTGGTTTCAGAGAAAGAAAGTAAAGCTGCTAGAATGGCCCAGCCAATCACCTGACTTGAATCCAATAGAAAATCTATGGAAAGAACTAAAGATTAGAGTTCATAGAAGAGGCCCACAGAATCTTCATGATTTGAAGACTGTTTGTGTGGAAGAATGGGCCAAAATCACACCTGAGCAATGCATACGACTAGTTTCTCCATACAGGAGATGTTGAATGTTAGTGTTAGTGTATAGATACATACAGCTCTTAAACATTAATTAATATTAATACTATATTAATTAACATAATTAATCAACATTATCCCGCTTTCGTTTAGTAGCTTACTTCTTTGATAATGTATTGTTAGCGAATTATTATTAATTATTATCTTATTATATAAGATAATTCTCTATTATTATTATTATTTTTTTAATTATTATTATTAAACACTTTCCTAAGGAAAGCTCATTGTGGGACTGGCTCGTAGTGGCTCAAATTCTGCACCAAGGCTGAATTTCGGGAAAGAGACTTCAGATACAGTACTAGGGACCACTTAGGCCTATATAAAAGCATCTAAAAAGCAGCATGTCATGGGACCTTTAAGACAAAATGCTGTAGCCTAATATGTTAACACTGAAACTGAAAAAAATGCTTGTAAGTCTTTTGATACATTTTTTTTTATTTTATCTTAGATGTTTTCTCTCAACCATAACAGAAGCAAACCCTTTTGTTACAGCACAGATTCTATGTTCTGCATTTGTAGCGCAGCATAAATCAGTGACAAGGTTTTATATTCATAATAGTTTAAAGTTTAGTGAATGGTGAAACAGGAGAAATGGTGGAAATTCAAAGTCAAGGTACAAAGGCTACAAGGTAGATATTTTAACCTTTTTTTACCTCCAAATGGTACATATTAGTACCTTTAAGGTACTTACTAGTACTTTAAAACTGCATATTAGTACATTCTAAAGTGAAAGTGAAGTGAACCGTAGCCAGTAACGTATGTGACCTATACTCGGAATTTGTGCTCTGCATTTAACCCATCCAAGTGCGCACACACACAGCAGTGAACGCACACCCGGAGCAGTGGGCGGCCATATTGCTGCGGCGCCCGGGGAGCAGTTGGGGGTTCGGTGCTATTACTGGATTGATCAATCAAACTAACATGAGACTATTCATTCATATCAGTTGTTTGTGCAGTTTTGTGAGATGTAGGTGGCATAGGGGTTTTTCATTGCTTATGTACAAGGATATTAGGAAACATTTTGAAACAGCACCTCTATTTTTGAAAATAGGCTCATTTTCCAACTCACCTAGAGTTGAACAATTGAGTTTTACCGTTTTCGAATCCATTCAGCCGATCTCCGGGTCTGGCGGTAGCACTTTTAGCTGCAGCTTAGCATAGATCATTGAATCTGATTAGACCGTTAGCATCTCGCTCAAAAATGGCCAAAGAGTTTCTATATTTTTCCCATTTAAAACTTGACTCTTCTGTAGTTCCATCGTGTACTAACCGACGGAAAATGAAAAGTTGCGATTTTCTAGGCCGATATGGCTTAGAAAATGGGACTCAATCTAATCAGATTCAATGATCTATGCTAAGCTGCAGCTAAAAGTGCTACCGCCAGACCCGGAGATTGGCTGAATGGATTCGAAAACGGTAAAACTCAATTGTTTAACTCTAGGGGAGTTGGAAAATTTGCCTATTTTTAAAAATAGTGGAGCGTTCCTTTAAGAAAATAGGAATTTATTACTACAAATTAAAGTACAACCTTTTGAACATGTCATATTCAAGAATGTGTGTGCTTAAACATTTCAGGGATTTACAGAGGATTTACCTATTACCAACGGCCGTGGACCTTCATATGAACCTGAAAGTGTTCTGACTGTCTCTCCTTTTTGAAGCCTACTGTTTCAGTGAGTATTTCCAATTATTAAAATTACCATGTATAAATCTTTTATAATTCTCTCATAAAGTCTAGATTGCCCAATCACATATTTTAGCCCGAATTTGCCTATGTTTCACCTGTATGTTTATATGCAGTAAGCTTAGTAACTTTAGTCACAAAGTTCATCTGTTGTGATCATAACAGGATCACTTGTGTTGATCTGTGCAGACATCTCCAGCACCCCACGGAGGGTGTTTACCTGTTTGCAGCCACCGTGAATGTGATATGAACCCACTTAAGCGTCGAGTGACAGTTTTCTGCCTGTTTCTACTTCTTTTTAAAGCACCCTGTTATAGTGAGTAATTGAGAAATTATGGAATTTCAAAATGTTGTATGAATGTATGAAAAGTGCACTGGAATAATAAGGTTAAAGTCTTTAACTTTGGTTATGTATTGTGAATTAACAAAGAACAACAATGTAGAATGTATATGTTTAGTATTAATATACAGTTGTTCATTATTAATTAGTGTTTGTTGATAATACATTACAACTAATGTACAAATGTACTGAGCAGGCTATGTGTGAAATTACCATCAAGAATACTGTAAATGCTTTGAAAGTGAAATTGACGTTAGGTGTGGCCAAGTATGGTGTCCCATACTCTGAATTTGTGCTCTGCATTTATCCATGTGCACACACATAGCAGTGAGTAGTGAACAAACACACACCATGAACACTGTTTTTTTTTGTTGTTGTTGCTGCGGCACCCGGGGAGCAGTTAGGGGTTCGGTGCTGGTCATTTACTCCCCCACCTACAATTCTTGCCAGTACGGAGACTTGAACCCGTGACCTTTGGGATAAAAATCTGACTCTCTAACCATTAGTATGGAGCATGCTGCACAACTTCTTGTCCAGGCCCTTGGCATTTCTAGGCAGGACTACTGCAATGCTCTTCTTGCTGGACTTCCATCATGCACAGTCAAACCTCTACAAATTATTCAGAATGCAGCGGCACGACTGGTCTTCAACGAGCCCAAAAGATCCCATGTCACACCTCTCTTTATCTCCCTGCACTGGCTGCCAGTTACAGCTCACATCAAGTTCAAGACACTGATGCTTGCATATAGAACAGCCACAGGTTCAGCACCCACCTACTTCCACTCACTATTATGAATCTACATTCCCTCCAGAAGTCTGAGATCCACTAGTGAGTGACACCTCGTGGTACCATCACAGGCAGGCTCAAATTCACTTTCCAAAACATTTTCGTTCACTGTTCCTGGCTGGTGGAATGATCTCCCAACCCCTATCCAGAATGCTGATTCCCTGACGAGTTTCAAGTAACAGCTGAAAACACATCTCTTTCATCACTATTTGACTTCATCCTAAAAAAACGTTTTCTCTTTTCTTTAATCTTTCCCTATCTAGCTTGTACTTATTTGAACAAAGCTTAAAACTTGGTATTACGAGCACTTCCTGCTTCTATTTGCCTCTTTAAGATGAATCGCTTGATGTATTCCCGAATTGTAAGTGACTTTGGATAAAAGCATCTGCTGAATGAATAAATGTAAATTAGGCCATGACTGACACCTGATTCATTAACTAAGTGTTAGGCATATTTCTTTTGATTTTTCAGTATGCACATACTGCATATACAATATTTAAATTTGGAAAATTTACAAATAGATTATAGAACTCTTACTGACAGTGAGAATAATTACTGAAATAATCATCTTATCAACCAAGTAATGAGTAATTGTGAAACTTAAATGTTGACATATTTCTCTCCTTCACTTTCCAGCTGAGTTTGAGATTACTGTTCCCAGAAACACTGTCACTGGGTTTTACGGTGAGGCACTGATCCTCCCTTGCACATTCCCTGTGGACAGCTCATGGGATCTGAGAAGCACCCTCATCCTTTAAAATGTTATATGTTTAATGTTGTTTTCATCAGACACACAAGCTTACCATCTGTAATACAGGACATACTGCCTGGTTGAAGTAACATTTGCTGTAGAAACCCTCTATTTAATTTGAATATTTATTGTATCTATTATTTTTCGTACAATTCCTGTGCAGTGTGATCGAGGTAAGGAGGCTCATTATATGTGTGACAGAGTTGTATTGGAAGTAGTTGTTTGTCATAGTTTTGGACCACAGTATTGGCATCACATTTTGTGTGTGTACTGTGTACTGTAAAATTTGTATAGTTTATTTTATTATTATTATTTTGTATTATTCTTTTCTACCCACTGTAATGTATTCATCACAATTTTTCACCTAGATTCATATTTACATTTTGTAAAAAAAAAACTTTTAAAAAAACGTGGCTTTTGTATTTTGTCTCTTGTTGCCTGTGCACCAGGGTCGAAAATAATTGGGTGTTCGGGAGGAAAACTGCCCCTGCATTACTAAAACTATTACGACTGTTGCAATTAAAGCCAAAAGTAAAACTGAATGAAAATTGTTGATTGTGCCAGTAAATTTAAAATAAAATTTTGCTCACATTACATCAATGATTTTCATGCTAATAGATAATGCATTTTAAAGGAACAAACTTTTAAAGATACCTCATTTGGCTAGTAGGATTATTGGTATTCCTAAGTTATCAGAGTGTATGTGTAGGAGGACTAACTTTAGTAAGAGTTTTGTTCCTACAGCAATACATGCTTTAAACACACAGGAAAATAGCCATCATCTTATACTCTTGCATTTTTTTTGTTCGTGAATGTATTGTGACAAGTTTGTACATAATGGGTAGTTGTCCTTGTATTGTATACGCACCTTCTGTGAAAAATGAATTCCCTCTCTGAGGACAAATAAAATGATCTATCTATAAATGTGAAGTCCTGATTTACTAATACATAAAAAATAAAATAATAAATTAAAGGGATAGTTTACACAAAAATGAGAATTCTGTCATAAATTACTCACCCTCATGTCTTCCAAACCCCAAAAAACCTTCGTTCATCTTCGGAACACAAATTACAGTTTTTCTCGATTGCTTAAACACATTTCTTGAAACTATGCCTCGTATTCTCAAAACAGTAAACACAAATCCATAACGTCTCACCCAATTCCCCAAACATCCTATTTTCAGGTCAAAATGAAGCTCTACACTCAAAACCATTCACTCTTGCTGAAAAACCAAACTTTTCCCTCAGACATCACACACAAGCTTTCAAAAACACACACACTACAACATACTATTACACACTGGTGCAATGAATTCAAAACAATATATCCAAAACTGGTAAGTTATGTTGCTTGTGGTTCTCCCCCTCAAAAACGTTTTCACATGAACACAAAAGACACAACCAATGTATACATTGGCACATTTTTATTCATTCACGTACTACACAGCACAACTGTAAAAAAAAAAAAGTTCTCGGTCATACACTTTCCACCGCCATGCCGAAAAAAACTCCTCTATCGGGTTTAGAAAGGGAGAGATGTTGCAGGCAGAAAGATGTTAGAAAACCAACACTGATTGGTAAACCAGTCACGAACCAGAGCAGCGCGATGGAAGCTGACATTATCCCAAACAACAATGTAACGATGCTGCTCTGGCTGTGCTGGTTCCCTGAGGTCCAGCTGGAACGTATGCTCTCTTAGACCATCAAGGAAAGCAAGGAGGAGCATAGTGTTATAGGGTCCTGGAATGGTATGACGGTGGAGTACCCCTCGTTAGCTGATAGTGACATTCCCTCCGCGCTGACCAGGGACATTTTCAATAGCCCGATGGCCAATTATGTTCCTCCCCCTTCTCCTTCTTTTGGTCAGGTTGAAACCAGCCTCATCCACAAAGATAATTTCATGGGGAACAGGCCGGCCTTCAATCTCAAAGATTCTCTGCAAAACACATGAAACACAGTAGAGTAAATCACTGCCCTGAAGCACAGTTCAAGAGGGCACAAATGGCAGCATAAACTGCTATACTGTGATGGTACACAATACTTCATACGATATCAAAACTCATACCTGAACATATTCGAGAAAAAACTGTAAGATATTTTTGATGAAAGCGAGAGCTTTCTGACCCTCCATAGTTCCTGCCACATTCAAGGCCCAGAAAGGTACCAAGAACGTTGACAAAATAGTCCATGTGACATCAGGGGTTCAACCATAGTTTTTTGAAGTTATGAGAATACTTTTTGTGCACCAAAAAATAAATAAATAACCACTTAATTCAACAATTCTTCTCCTCCAAGTGACGGTGTTCCGCCATTATGGAGAGAGTATCATGACGCTTGCGCGTGTTTTCCTCTGCATGTAAACAAGACGCAGCGCATGCATGTTCTACGTCAGCAGCATCACACGCATGCATTGTTTATGTGCAGGTGCAGTTTAGTTGCATATGTTTTGATGCTTAATTTTTTCTTTGTTTGCAATTTTGATTTTGAATTTTGAACAAAATACCTGTGAAACTTTCGGCACTTCATCATCAAGCTTTTCTAGCATGGAATTTGATTTACAAACACAATTTTTTTTTTACCACACCATTACTTTATTTGGAATAATAAGGACATTTTATATAAACAAAAGTCTATTTTTTTTAACTGGTTTCGAAATAACATTGTTTTGGTAGACCAATTATTTAATTCCGATTAAACTTAAAAAAATTAAATTATCAGCAATTCCAACAACTCTCACCCAATCACTCCCCTATATATGTTTTTCCTATCATTGTAATAATTATTACAGATCAATAAGAGCCCCTTTCCAGAAGGATGTTGCTTCGAAACCAAATGTAATTGCATACTGGAATCAATTTGTGAGTGATGTTGGTTGGAAAAAAAATTCTGGCTTCTGTTCAATCACTATCTCTTAACAAATAAGGTCAAAGAGATATCTTTTAAACTCCTTCACAGAGTATACCCTGCTAAACTTTATTAAACTAAATTTTTAAAAGATACAGATGTAAGATGTAGCTTTTATAAGCGGAAGCCAGAGACATTTGTTAATTTATTTTGGCACTGCCCTTATGTGTCTTTTTTTTTTTTTGCCGGAATGTACTTGATTTTAGTTGTTGACTAATGATGTTGATGAAAATATTACTTTACAGTGGAAAGATGTTCTTTTAGGCATTATTGAAAACTCTAAAGATAAACAGACCCACACTTTTTTTAATGTTTTATTTTAATCGCTAAATTTCATATTCATAATTATACATTTTCAGGGGAAAAATCCATGTTTTATAGTATTTAAAAATTAAGTGAAGCATTATATTGAGTCCATATTGCCCTCAAAGAAACAAAAAGCTATTCGAGTTTTGCAAGCTTGTTCACTCTTTCATGTATTCCTATAATATTGTTTATATCTCCCCCAAGCATTTGCATTTTTTTGTATTTGTTGTTGTTGTAATTGTATTGAATGTGTTGACATTCTGTTCAATAAAATCTTCTCTTGCTAATGAAGACAAATAGCCCCTGAAACCACAAAATAATAAAAGTAAAAAAAAAAACAATGGAAAAATAAAATAAATGACAAATCAATGAATGAATCAATGAGTATATAAATTGTTAAATGATTATTGTAAATTACTGTGAATGAACAAACAATTGAATGAATGAATGAAACAAAGAAAGTAAAACAACACAAATGTATGTTTTTTCTCTTGAAGCAACACAAAGGTTGCAACTAGAATCCTTGATTCTTCAACAGTCTATGATTTCTGGATAAGGATCTGTTTACATTTATTTGAGATTATATTTCAATTCTTTAGAATGTCAGACAACCAAGCTTTGAAATTAATAGATTTGAAAAAAATTGACTTTTTTAGTTTTAAAGCACATAATAGCTACGATCCTGGAAAAAATTTAAAAGTAATATATTTGCTCTTGCATATTATTTCTCCTACGTATTGTTTACTTATTTTGATCATTTAATAATATTTCAGCAATATATTTTGTCTTTGTGATTATTGTCCAAGTTGTAGGCTATTTCTTCTACCCACTGGCAGACAGGTTCTCATGTGATTGATCTTCCTCCGTTGCTCCCTGTGAGTAATCTTTTTGCTTGCTGTTTCAGTTTTTGCATTTTTACTCCTTAATTGTTGTCTAAGTATAGGCTAATACTTTCGTAATGTCTCATTGTCTGATCAGGTGCACTTACAAACTTGTCTCTTGCTGCACAGTTGTCTGACATATGTGCTCCTTCCTCATGATGAGCTCAGTTTTAACTTTCCGTTGTGTTGATAATTTAGGTTTCCTTTTTAAATGTCGTTTTGTTATGCACTACTGGGCCACCATATAGCACAATTTTTCATTAGGAAATACGTACCTCTGGACAACGTTTAGTCACAGAAGCGTTTCTATGTTATGTAAACAATCGTGCCATGTGACTTATGACGTAATGTTCTCGTGACGTACGATACTAGGCGCACCGAGAGCGTTCTGGCCATAGACTATAAAAACTGCTTCTTGCCATAGACTATAAAAACTGCTTCTTGCCATAGACTATAAAAACTGCTTCTGGCCATAGACTCTAAAAACTGCTTCTTGCCATAGACTATAAAAACTGCTTCTTGCCATAGACTATAAAAACTGCTTCTTGCCATAGACTATAAAAACTGCTTCTTGCCATAGACTATAAAAACTGCTTCTTGCCATAGACTATAAAAACTGCTTCTTGCCATAGACTATAAAAACTGCTTCTTGCCATAGACTATAAAAACTGCTTCTTGCCATAGACTATAAAAACTGCTTCTTGCCATAGACTATAAAAACTGCTTCTTGCCATAGACTATAAAAACTGCTTCTTGCCATAGACTATAAAAACTGCTTCTTGCCATAGACTCTAAAAACTGCTTCT